ATATTTCACAATATTACTGTTTTTATTGTATTTTTATCAAATAAATGCAGCTTTCATGAGCATAAGAGTCTTCTTTAAAAAACATAAAAAATCTTACTGATCCCAATCTTTTAAAAAATACATATATTAAGATCTAAATTGAATAATTTAATATTTAATCATTTTAGTATATACAACACCATATTTGCAAATTTAGTTTTGCATATTATGAAATTTCTGTAAGAATCACACTGAATTGCTGCTGCTATTAAGTCTAAGTCACTAATAAGTCACTGCTTTAATTGTGCTTTTCACGTAATTGTAATCGTACATAACAGAGACTTTCAAGCTATTGAATACAGGCCTGTATTAAAGGTTTGACAATTTTCAAAACGCTCTGAGGATGGTAATGTTCTCCTTTCTGACCTCCTGTTGTCAGAAACCCAGAGAGTGGCTTATGGAGAAAGAAAGACTTTCGTTGTGGTACAGAGACTCAAACCCAATTGAAGATTCCTTGTCAAAAACCAGGGTTCACTGACTCAGGCTGTTCCTGTTGCACTTTCTCTTTCCTATTGTTGCTTTTCTCAGCACTCCTCGCTTTCTACACCAAAGAGCTCGAATCACCCATCCTCCCTAATCCACGTTTCCAAAGCGATGGGTGATTTATCATACCAGCCTATGTGTTATTATTATGCATGATTAACCTAATGGAATCTAAGTGATGGGCGCCGTATGCAGCCGCAGTGTTGTCCAGGCTGGGCAGGTTAATTTATCACTGCACTTTGAGCCAAGGTGGCCACTTGCTCTTAATTCAAACCACTGGCCGAGATGTAAACCCGTAATGACAACACCACGGCCGGCTGCGTTTCAACTAAACACTAAAGCAAGCATTTCAAACCTTCAGCACTTGCTGTTTTTGGCCAGCATCACACTTTGCTGAGCTACTGGGAAATTAATATTCAACCTAAGCACATACAAACAGGAGCCTCGGCTTGTTAATAAGCCTCTGAAGTGCCATATGGTCAGGGCGGGGGAAGCTAACTTACCTATCCAATGCTTGGATGGCCAGCTCTTAAAAACAATCATGCTGGGAGTTTTAATCGTGCTTTTTAAGTCAAACAGCATGAAGTTGCAAAAGTTTGGTTATTTCAGGCTGTTTGGGGGTGAATCGCTTATTCATGAAAATGCATTCTAGGTAAATGTTATTTGAACTGAAGAAAGTGGTTTTGCACTTGAAACGCCTTTTTTAACTTCCTGCACGATGGCTCAGATTTTGTTTTAATCCTCAGAAGAGTGAATTCAAGCATTTGCACATGTCTTTTAAACCTTCCACCGACAGGTTTTAAATGACAGTCACTGTTGTGTACAGTAGTGCTTGGCGGTATGACCAAAGATGTATATCACGGTATTTTTCAAAATTATACCGGTTTCACGGTACATGACGGTATTTTTTTTCATGCATGACTGGGTGTTAACCATATTTTCTACTGATTGAGAGAGGAAATACTGCAGTATATTGACTTAGAATGCCCTATTTTACTGTCATGATGAGTGAATATTGTCAAAAAATACCACACTAAATAGTGACTAAACACGACCCCTTTTAATACATGTTAACCAGGAGTCACTCTCATTTATCAAATATAAAATCAACATGCATCTACACTAAAGAGCGGCTATGCGGTTGTTTTGGCTATATTACTTTTTTGTCTCATGCAGCGCACTGCCTGTGTCTGAGTAACAAACTAAAAAAAACAACAAACAAAAAAGTGCATGTGATATTAACAGACGAACTACGCTCATATTTATAATTCCAAACAATCAGTAAGCGACAGGTGCTAGGAAACACTGTTTTGTACTCATTTATTGACGAATCGGCTGCGGTGCGGCCAACTGAATGCACTGCTTCTCTGCCGCTCACTG